ATGTGCACCCACCAGTCTTTCCACGGATGAGTGTGTCGCATTAGGATTCGACATGGCTATCTGCACATTTTAGTCGTTCCAAGCACAGAAACAATCGATGTCCGTTAGATTTGAACAAAGTCACGGTTCGAAATCAAACTCGAAGGATCAATAAATAATCGTTCCCAATCTCGTGAGTTCCGATTTTTTCTCGTCAGGAATAAAAACCGATAGTTGATATTATTATAAATCGTTTGAGAACACACGTTGCACATTTTTCAAATAGTGACGTACATAATATAAGTATATAACATATTATGCGGTGCACGGGTATCGCATAATATCCGCAAGACAAAGCTGATGTAGTTATAATTATTGCTAAATAGCGCTAGCCCGAGAAAATTGACTTTCGCGCTAAAGGCCTCGGGGTGAGTTTAATACAATACTATATTATAATATTTTTTTAATCAATATGTATATTTACACGGCGCATTAGCTTATGTGTAGTAGTTTTTAATGTTTCGCCAACCATACGTGATATGACAAAGAAACTTGGCGGTCAAATATCCCCAAAGGCTTTTTCATTAAAACGCATACAAACAACCATAAATTGTCAACTAAATGTATTAATAATTAAATGTTTAATTACTGATCTAGTATTATTAACCTTGCCAAACCTTGGTTTATTATTAAAATACATTGAAAATGCACTTAACTAATAATATACGTCGTAAAATATAAAATAAGGGATTTTCACATTGACCTACACTATATGTAAACCAATTCGTTCACATCTTATAAAATGCATTTCAATTTTCGATTGTCTTTTATTGCAATAACTTATAGGTATACAATCACCATGAGCTATTTAAAAAATGTATGATTTCAAGTAAAACATATTTTTTTACCTCAAAGAATGATTAAAAATTAGAACAAATACATTATATATAGAGCGTATGAATGTTGCTATTATATACTATATAGTTTCATGTCTAGTGTACAATTACGAATTAATTTAATGTGATAAAATATAGCTATTTTATAAAATGATATGTATATTTAAATTCGATATACAGTATTTATGTATTTTAAATAAAATGTTTTAATTTTATTACCCGCGTGGCCGTGTCCCTCATATATTAGGAACAAATACTTTTTTTATCGATTCACCAACCTATACTAGCATAGCTGAGTTAGAAATATGGAGTTAATATTATTACATCCAATAAAATATATGCGTGCTATGATAAAGTTTGAAATAACAAGATACTTTTTTTTTTTAAATCGTTTATTTAAATGAATATTTACAATCTGTACTAGGGGGTACAATAAGTTAAAGATTTAGTATAATTATGAAAAGGTCAGTGAATGACATGAAGGAAACAAGATACTTAAAAATTTGGATACAATCACAGGTTCGTTTAGTAAATTACATTTACCTGATTAAAATATATAATCAAGATTAAACGCAATAGTTAGAAATGTCATATTACACCATAAACAAAACTGATGTGTTCACCATACTTGATTTAAATTGGCAAACGAATTGTTCAGCACCCACATAATATGCACTAAATATTTAGTAAACACGTTTTCTTGATAAACAATTCTATATTTTAATATAAAAGTAGTAGCCAGCCCCAAAACATGTTTATGTTAATATATTTTATTAATTATTTGTATAAACTATATGCTAGTACAGAGAACACATAATATTTATAAAATATTATGCGAACAAGTGTCAAATAAATTTGAGAGCATAATTTAAAAAGTTGATTTCCTCGAAGTTTCATCTTGGCATACATCTCATAAAAGGCATACATCTTTAAGTAGTTTGTTATAGGTATAGTTCTTATTTTGTATTTATAAAACTATAACGTGCACAATTATAATTACGTCGCCATACGTGCCAACTCTACATAGTAAAGCTATTAAGTTTCACAAATCAATATTAATAATTTATAAAATTAATGTCAATAATATGGGCACCAAATAACAAAATATAATACATCAGGATATGCTCATCGTATAGAGTCCAATCCTATGTATTATTTATATTTACACATCAAACTGTGTAGAGCTGAAGCCTGAATTACAAACCTAACCAAATAAAAATATGAACGTCAATGTAAATGATTGACGGATATTGATACAACTATATAAGACAAACAATAAGAGGTCAGAGGAGCAACATATACGTATTATAATATTATATTGTATACAGGTAAATGTAAATTTCATAGAATATTTAATAAAAATATAATAATTACGTAAAATGAATTTATGATTCCGTAGTTTTAATACATATTATACTGTCTAAGATTCTAAGAAACATAAAAAGAATCAAAACTAAAGTCAAGATAAACGTAAATAAAAATTTCAGAGGCAAATCATACGTGAAATAAAAAAAAGACAAAACAGGACATACATTTAGTATTTATTTCGTGCTAATATAAGACATATTTTGATCAAAGATTGTTTAAAAGATTTTATACAGCTACAAACAGACAGAGTTCAACCAGCTTATATAAACCGTAAATCAAAATATATACCTATCGTATAATAACGTGACAATTTATATTTTATAAGCTGAACATAGAATTTTGCTGTAATTGCATTAATATATTTTATGCAACGTATATACATTAAGTATATAAGTACAATTTATTCGAAAGAACGATGAACACTATAAAAACGATTCACTTGCATATGATATATTATGTATAATTATGATCGTATCATTCGTATCTCATTTAAATTGTACAGATTGTAATGTAAAAATAAGCATACTATAGCATTGTTACATGAATATAATAATTATTATATAATATGCATGCTGCTGCACTATCTACATTCTACACCATATATCTATTAATTTATAACGGTATAAACTCAAATAACCACGATAAGGAGCTTGGTATTTAATTATAGTAATTAATTAGTTTAATACAATTACATAACTTTTTTATGACGATTTATATCCAGGAAAGCAATAACTCCGGACAAGTCTGGTTTGGAGACAGCACTAACTTTTATTTTTGAACATACTGAAAGTACTAATTGAGCACAAAAATTAGTGATATATCGGAAATGAGTGCTTTTTATTCTCCCGCCAACTTCACACAATCTCATATACGTTACAAGTACATTATAGATTCACAGGAATATACATTGAGAGGATCTCAAAAAAAAAAAATTCTGATATATCTTGATAAAGATAAATAGATTGCATTAATACTGTACCACGAAATGTAATAAAAGTTTCATTGACTTATGCTTTTCGAGTGAAATTTATGAGTATACAGATTAAAATGCTTGAATATATATATTTTTTAAATAAACATTAAATATTTTTTTTCAGTACAACCCCAATTTGTTTAGGAAATTTTAATTAGTTTAAGTAGTATATAAGTATAAGTAATTTAGTAGATAACGTTGTATTTTTGTAAAAAAAATAATTTACCTTCTTGAAAATACAACAATATTCTCGATGAAACGATAATATTAAAGATATCCCGTTGTAGATTTACAATTACAACAATAATATTTATTTATCTTTTTTATTCATGGCATACACTGCATGGTTATTAGCCGGTTTTTAGTGTGGAGGAGGGCACGGTTTGTTCGGAATACGAGTATGTGGGACAAGGATTTTTCACTAAGAACCCGAGTGGTCACCCATTTGGGTACTAGCGACACCGGCCGGTGCTGACACTCAGAACACGTATGTGACCGAAGCCAAACACAATAATAATATAATAATAATACTACAGTGAAAAATCAGAATCATCTATAGTGGGTAAAAACTAAGAACAAAAGGTCTTGGATAATAAAGTATTTTTACTTAAAATTCTGCTTAAAAATATGAACTTGAAAAAAAAAAATTTTAAATACATCGAAATAAAAATAACATAAATTATACTCACAAATTCAGCGTTTGTTATAAGCAATTCATATTATTAACATATTTTTGTTAAATATATATATTATGTATTATCATTAATTTAGGAATACTTAACAACGGATCGCTGCAGTATCACAGAAAACCTGGTGGTTAATATAACCTGGTAGACGGTCGCAGATGATCTTTCTCATCGGTCGTCGGAGCACATCAAATGAAAACGGACCGACGACGACGAGGAAGCACGAACAATGAAAAGTGACGAGGAAAGCGTGATAACATTTCCATTATTACAATAATACAACATTTTTTGCAAACGCGTTTCTAGTCTATTTATCCAACGTGAATCCGTAACAACAATAATAACATGTCACCGCGAGTTAAGTGCTCGAAACATATTTTATAGGCACAGAAACATATTATGCGTGCATACTACCTAACGATATAGTAAATAGTAATGTACAGGGTGATCCATCCAGGGTAAATCCAAGTTAATTATTGGGTTTTTTTAAAATTTATTTTTTATGTAACTTCAAGTATTCTTATAATTTATTATTACAAAAATATATAACATTTTTCAAAAAGATCCAATATTTTATAATAGTGTTTTTTTAATGACGACCTATCAAATATCATAATATTAGAAGTCGCAAAATTACTTTAGTATCTAAAAGCAACAGTGTATTTATATCGGCTGTCGAATAAAAGTTTACCAACTAAATCTGCGCATCAGCTCATCATGTTATTGGAAAACCTAAAAATACCCTAAAATAAATTATTTTTCTTATTCGAAAGTAGCGAATTTTAAAACGTCTATAGCTCTATACGAGAACATTTCTTTCGGTACAAAAGCTAACTGTTAAAGCGCAGCCAAGTTGAACAGATCACCATGTAGTATGTACGTGAATATTTACGTCTTCACTATACTTATATGCAAACTCTGCGCACTGCAGTTTCGCGGGATAATTAAATCGTACATGTTCACGCTGCCTATATGCACATTGTACAAACTCTACATACAATTGAATGTCTTATAAATTATGGTCGCCAGGGTCGGCGTACCGTGTCGTTTATTAATAAAATTCGTGCGATGTGCACGCGTTATGCTATATATTACATTATATTCACGTAGGCGTGTTGCCCGGTTGCGTACATCATTGTAATATAAAGATAATAGCAATAATGAGCGGTTTTCACCGAAAAATCTTCCGGTACCATGTGACTTAAATAGTCGAACCATCGGGGATAGGTCTCATTTGGACAGAAGTACTGTTCGAGTTTCGTCCGCCAGACAAAACATGAAGGGCTCTGCAGTTATTGCGGTAAGTGATTTTATAGTTTTATAATAATAATAGTATAATAATAAATTATTCAAATCGTAAACAGAAAACGCATACATATATTATATGAGGCTAGACTTGGTTTTACCCGTATTCGTTTTACCGAACAAATCGCGAACATTTTTTTGGTTGTTTTTTTCTTTAAAGTTAACTTCGACATCTATGCATAATACAATACAGTAACACAAGTTGAATCGCTTAAATTCCAGTAAAAAGTGTTAGCGATCCAAGGAATATATATATATAGGAACTGTTTCACTATTTTTCAAAAAAAATTACGATAACAATAGAACCATAAACGTATCCATTTTAAAGTTGTAAGAATACTTGAGTCTCCTATACTCGAGCTTGCTTTGGAGGATACTTCCGTTATGACAATCAGACCGTAACGATAATTTGAGTGGATTTTACAGTACCTAAGTACATATTATAATATAGGAAATACCCTGCAGTTTAGAAGTTGGTAAATTTAGTCACCAACTTGTTTTGGGAAATGGACAAAGACACATGGGGGGGGGGGGGGGGGTGAGTGATGAATTACTCGGCCAAGTCACCGAGACCATTGAGTATAATATTATATAGACGTCACGTATTTCACAGTCGTGCGTTTTGCTGGGTATGGTCGCGTGGTCGCAGTGTTTGCCGTACGGCGAATACCAACAGACACAGTCGTTAGGCGGCCACGGACTGCAGTCGTACAACGACGGCAACGGCTACCCGCAACCGACGTACAACCATCACGCACAGGCGCAGGAGGAACACGAGGGCCAACACGAGCCGGTGCACTATTCGTTCCACTACGACGTGCACGACCCGCACACGGGCGACGTGAAGAGCCAGCACGAGACGAGGACAGGCGACGTGGTCACGGGGTTCTACACGCTGGTGGAACCGGACGGCACCATCCGGACGGTGAAGTATACGGCGGACAAGCACCACGGGTTCAACGCCGTGGTGGACCGCAAGAAACCGAACTTCGATGTCGGTACATTCAACTATCACCACCACCAACCACAACAACAACCACAACAACAACATCAACAACAACAACAACACCATTATAATTGACGACGTCCTGCGCAGCACACAAACACCACACGTGAGCGCACGCGCAAAGTGACTATATCCACCGCCTACAGTGATTGTATGTAAATAAAGTGCCTGAACACTTATAATGATATAAAAATATGAAAATATTTAAGTCTAAGACTTACAATTATTTGCTCCTTTCCCCCAGCCCCCAGTTATTTACGTCAAATCACACATTTCAGTATATTTTAAATAGGTACTTACTTTTAAATATTAGAATACGCATATTTATGTAATATAAAAGCCCTACTTTTTAATATGAAATGCCCATTCAAGGTACAAAAATAAAACCGTCAAAACAAGATATGACTCATCCCCTCCGCAACTAGACCCCTTAAAAAAAAGCCAATAAATTAAATATTTCTAACCTACCACAATGGTTAGGACTTTTCATTGTTTTAATGGTTTTATAAAATAAATATGTTCGAGAAAAATCTTCTTGTGTATAGCAGCATCACTGTGAGCATCCCCAATTATTACAGTTTATTTTTTACTTAAGTGTCAAGACGTCGCAAGCTTAGTAAAAACATTACCCTGGATTTTTTTTTTCGTAAACCTAATTAAAGTGACAATTGCTACATTATAATATTATGATGACGTACCTATGTTTTATTTTTTTTTTTTGTCGACAATATTGTTTTATTTGTTAGCGTTTGTAAATTTTTAAATAAATGTACTAATTACGTTTTTTTTACTTAATTTTTAGAGAAATTTTTTTCTCTGGATTTTTCGTAAACTACGACAAGACGTGCCCGAATCCCACACATGAATAAAATATCGTCTTATTGCTATAGCACGTGCAGCAATCGTAATGCAGTCATAGCGGATGCACATGCACCTAGGTGGGCCCGATGATATACCGTTCATAAAATCTTAGTCCAAACAGCTGCGTAATATTCGATTTTGGCATAGATACGGCGACCGTCACGTAAACGACTACAGCCCCAGAATTTCCCCCAAAATCGTGCCAACTCGATCGGCACAAGAATTGCGTGTACATTTAACTTAAGTTTCGGTACACAATATCTAAAAATTTACAATTCTACAAGATAATATATGATAGATAATTATTCGTATACGGTAAACTCGAAAACGGCTGATCTGACCGGGACGATTATTGTTGTTCCGTGTTCGATGGTCACCGAGTAAAGAGTATAGAAATATATTGTATTATTACTGCAGTCGCAGAGTTCAGCTGTATTGTTCCAACTTAATGCTTTTTAAACATAAATATAAAATCATTGACGTATAATATGCAAGTATATTATGTAAAAAACTGTTATACTGAAAACAGTAGAAAATAAAAATGGGTTCTTACCCAAGATATCTAAAAAAAAAAAAAAAACACAATAGGTATGTGGAGCTATCAGTGTTTTGAGTAACCACAATAAAAAGTGTACCTATTACACGTACTTATATAAAACTGAAAATCGATAGTAGGTAAGTTAATAGGTAATAGGTAAATCGTAAGGTATACGGTTAATTTCTTATTTCTGCTGAAGAACATAGTACAGTATACAAAGCTCTTACGAGTGCTGACATTTGTTCAAGCGTTGGTTTGTTCCAAATATTTGTTCGTATACGTTTATAAAGGTTATACGGAGCAAGTTTGATAAAATTCTCAACAACGACTTTCGACTCAAATACGACGAAATTGTTTTGTATGCGAACATGCGATCAACGTCAGTTAACATTACTATTTGAATGCGTTTGGCTCGTCATTTAAACGAAATGCATTTACGATCTCATGTCCTCATATGTTTGGCAATTCAAGAACTCAAAGCATAATAGGTGACCAAACTGATTTCGTTATGTGATTTTTAAAGAAGAATTGACGAAAAAACTGAGCCTCGGATGATCAATGCATATTCGTACCGGAAATTCCTGAAAATTGCCCAATATGGATTTTTTTTACCAAACAACATAATGGTATCTATATATTTATATATTTCTAATAATCAATATAATCAAATACAAAATATACATAGGTAAACCGTCATATTGTCATCTTATTATACATCCAATACAAGCCACTTCCGGTGAGTGAATTCCGGATTCGTGTCATGCACAAAATGTATGTATAAAAGTATATAGGTAATAATTAATATACACTACGTTAATTATAATTTACAATATCCATAATAAATAAACAGCGTGATCTATAGAATTTTTTCTCGTCAGTAACTTTTGCGTTTAAAATTCTATACAACGTGCAGATCCACGCGATTATTAAAATCTATATAAGTATTATTGATTTACCAAAAGTGAAAAAAATAAAACAAAACACTATAATGTGACTGTTATATTCATTCGCCGTTTAGACTAGGTAACAATATTTACAGATTTAACTTATGAATTACGTCATTACGTAAGTATTTTAAGCTGGGTTCCTAGTTTCTATAAAGTATTCAAATAGTTATATGTTCAAAGTGTTTAGTAGGGGTGGGTTCGAGTGAGGACCAAATACATCGAAACACTCGGTACAGTGTATACATAATATGATAAATAATTTCTTGTGCAACGACGCAGAAGTTATAACAATTTCTTATATTATGTAAACGCGAAAACTAGACCTTCGCAACAGTAACAGTATGGAAATGTTATGCGGTATCGACCGATATAGGTTTTTAGAAACGATTAGTTCCTCAAAAATAAAAATTTTGAAAAATGTATAAAATGCGCTCGAATTATAAATGTGAATATTGCACATCATGGTTTTCCGACCGTTGAATGTGAGCATTCCGATGATAAATAATGTCATACATAAAACATATAATAGTACCTAGGTGTGGTGTAATACATAATTATATTATAATATATTAACTATAATAGGTAATAATTATAATAATGCATTATACAGATTGCATTTAGGTACTCGTAAATAAGTTTCCGTTCAGTCAATCGAAAGTTATTGCGTCGGCGTACAACCGGAAGCAGTACACGAAAATAAAAATTGACCAATTGCCAATCGGATAAGTTTGATAATTGAAATAAATTTCATGTAGGTACCTATATATTTTACAAACCTAATACATTTTTCGAGCAGTCATACAATTTTATTCTTTTGAAATAATATATTCAATTATATAACAAAACGTTTATAAAAAGAAAAAACTTTCCAGTTAGGTGTTCTGTTTGCAATAAACTAAAAAATATAGACCATCGACTACTTTTACGGCGGTTAAATATTGTTTTAAATGTCTATGATTTTTAATTAAACGTTTCATTGTAATCAAAAAACTAATTTTCCTTTAACACATATATTGTTTACAAATTAATACGAATTATAGTTATACAAATATTGATTTCCTAACATTTGTAATCATATACCTGGTTAGTTATTGGGTTGTTATAAAAATACAAATATTATATGAGAATGACAAATTATCAAAGTCATTATATTTATTCTCGTTGTAGTGCTTTACGGGCTGCAACTTGTATAGTACCTATCAATAGTTTTAAGTACTTATAAAAAAAAATCAAAAAAACAAAAAATAAATTTAAAATAGTTTTCACACTAATAACATATTAAATGTCCACTCAATTTAGCAAATCATCTTTTCAATCATAAGACATAATGGTTGATAATAGTATAAGAAAAAAAATAAACATTTGTACTTCACTACCATATCAACCTTGGACGGAATGATAATCCCAAATATGCATAAACAGTTATTGAACCTAAGTTTAATGAATGGTTTGTTGACCTCTAATAATAGAATAAGATTAAATCAAAATTTAAAAAAAATAGATTAACGATATCATATCAAAGATAATATTTAAAATATACACATGCGCATTGTGAGTATACTCTATAGAGTTAGTTTTGAAGTGAATGAATTAATTACAATTTATAGGTGTATTAATTTTATAAAACGTATTTTTAGTTAGCAAAAAGAACCTACACAATCTATAAATAGGTAGTAAAAAAAAACCTTAAATTTAAAAATGTTCTTGAATTTCATTATCATGGGGACATAATAAAATGTAAAACAAAGATCAATGTTTATAACTGTAATTAGTATTCAAGGTTGACTAATGCAATGTGAACTATATTTGAATATATATTTGAAAAACCTGTAAATACAAATATTTGGCTTTTATTCAAATACATATTATTTTTATGTTTCGTTTAATGATGGGATGGCCATAATCGTATAATGGATAATTACATGATCAATATTACATAATTCGAGTTAAGCCATCGATTTATTTGTAATGTTAAATTTGTAGAACTTATTAAAACAAATAAATCTTTTGACTTTTACAGACAATTAACTTGATTTGATACAGCGGGCTAGACGTCAAGTAATACATCTTCAGATTAACATCAACAACTATTCCTGCATCCCTTTCAGCTATCCGAGTTTTTTGTCAATTCCAGCTGATATTATTACACGTCCAAGGTTTTTAAATTTCAAATTGTACCAATGCTTCTTCATTATAACTACAGTTAATTCTATTCATACGCTTTGTCACATAATATATTTCATGTATTTCCCGTGTACTACAGTCATATACAGGTTGCTTCATTAAGCATGCATTATTACACAACCCTTCGTTTTTCTTTAATAACTAATTTATTCAAATTATAATTATTGAAATTTGTAAGGCCAATAACTTAAAATATTTTGACGATTTTCATTGCAATTTAAGAAATGGTTGTGGTGCTACAAACTTTTTTTCAAATGTGAATAGATCTTTTTATGTAAATCGTTAAGGATGTACATTGAAAATGTTTATGTTCATAAATTTAAATTCGAACGAGTGGTTTCTGTGTTACTAAACATATGATAACTAAAGATATTAATAATAGGATTAGAACTTTAGAAGCCATAATGATTTAAAAATTAATGTGATAAATATTAATTTATTAAAACTGTCCGATTGTAACAAATAATATCGACTAAATATTTTATCTTATAATTTATGCGAACCCTATGATAGGGTTATTTATAACATTGATTTATATTAAGGACTATTATCCTTATATCACTATGTATACAAATTGTAGACATTATGGAAATATAATATATTATTAGGTTTGTTTTATTTTTTTTTAATAGCTGTTCTATTATAATAATATTTACAAATTATATTTTATAAGTACTAAAACGTATCAAGACATAACCACATACGACATTACGTGTACATATCCGAGTTCGAAAACTGTGGGTTAGGGGCAGTGATGTAGATGGTAATATTAAGTTCAATCATTGCGAGGGACGCTAATTTTTTTTAAGCCTAAGAGTGTCCTATTGTTTAATAATAGAAGACTCGTAAACTATATAATATATATTATATAGTGTCCAAATAAAAAAAAAATTTTATTTGAGCACTGCACATTATTCTCTTTGTATTATACTCAACAGTCAACAGTTCTATTTGTTTTTTATAAGAAGTAGGTAGTTATTTTTTTTCTTATTATTTATGTACTTTTTGATAAGTAGGTACTTTTAAATCTGTAAACCGTACTTAAATATAATTCATAAAAAGTTCCATCATCGCAGTTCTATTCGCAAAACGAATAGACTATTTTCAAACGAAGTAAAACAGGTTTAAAACAAAGTAAAAACAGTAAGTTTTCAAAAACCATAGGTGTTTAAATCATTTTTCACTAAACGCTCTCATAAGAAAAAAAAATGTATCTTTAATATGTTTTCATAGAACTAAGGCTTACGATTATGTACACCGCATACTGAGCAATTATTTGTATATTTACGAAACGTTGTATAATCATGACGTATGCCTACTCTATTTCACACCAAAATTGTTGTGGGTATACGACACAATAATCCAAACTCAAAATTTTTACAATATTGAATCAGATGATACATATAATATTAAATGCGTAAAAATGTATAATATTCACAAATCGTGACTTTGTTGGTTCGGCTCGACGAAACGAATATGTGCGAGGACTTGGGTTTGAACCCAGTGAGGATCGTTGTGCGATCCCCGAGGTACATGCACGTGAGGAATTGTTCACATATATACTATTTGATAGATACCCACAAGTAGCATATATAAAATATAATATTACACTTACGATTTTGTAAAAATAACATAAATATTACAATAATATACCTTATATTATTAGGTATATACGAATAAAGTTCGGAGTAATAGTTATTTTAATAGTGTTCGATTATGTGGTCGAACGTATAAACTAAGTGCCATAATAGGGGTGCAATAACTATTGTAATAAAGGTAATAACGAACAAATGCAAAACCTCGTGTGTATATATAGCAGAAACAAATACGTACTTGCACGTACAATTTATTGATCGATGTGATTATTTTTGTTTACATGACAATACAATGATGATTATCGTAAAGGTACAACACAATAATTAAGAGATACAATTTTTAAACAGAAGAAAATACAATATCGAAGGAATTAATACTACGCCCGCGACTCGTCGCTACCGGCGAAACGGCCGAAGAGCTTCGGTTGTGGTTATGTACACCGCGCATGGCGGTACCCGTTTTTCGGGCACCCGTTTTACTTGCGGACGATCGGTGAGCCGTATTGGCCGTTGTAAGCGTACTGACCGTACGAGTACGGCGAGTAAGCAGCTCCGTACGAGTACGGCGAGTAAGCAGCTCCGTACGGGTACGGTTGGTAACCGTATGAGTACGGCTGGTAGTTGTACGGGTAACCGGACGAACCGAAGTAGTAAGGCGCCGGCGAGGCGACGTACGGCACAGGTGCGACGTACGGGACGACGGGGGCGACGGCTGGGGCGACCACTGGTTTGATGACGGTGGCGGCCTTAGCGACGATCGGCACGGCGGCGACGGCGCCGCTGACCGGCTCACGGACGACTTCGGCGGTGAATCCGTTGACGGCGTCGGACTTGTACCTGACCGTGCGCAAGAAACCGTCAGAGTCCAGGGTGCGGTAGTAACCGGTCACGTCGTCGCCGTTTCTCGATTCCTGTTGGTCCTTTTGGTCACCGGTGGTCGGATCGTTGACAGCGTAGCTGAAGTCGTATTGGGCTGGAGCCGACGGCTCGTCGATTACAGCGGAGTGCGCCAAGCAGACGAAAGCCGCGAACAGCAAACCCACAGTCTGAAACTAACGATAGTAAACCACGTGGTGAGACGAATGACGAATGCAAACGTCGCTACCTATCTAGATCGACCAACTGCAGTGTTTGTATAGTTTTGGGCGAAATCGATGAGATCAATAGGAAATGGTGTGTCCAGATTTTATTTAGAATTTCGAAAGGAAACAAAACGTATCGATATTTAACACGCGTTTCGACGACGATATTCGCAAAAAACACGATATTGCGATCGGCGGAGAATTCGTTTTCGTTTGACCAAAAACTATACGAACACCACACAGTTGCAGGTATAGGTACCTAACAATTTGTAGTCATGAAAAACACTTACCTTAGGCCCCTGCATTGTCGGTAGAGTGTGTTTTGTATAGATGAGACGACCAGGTGAACGGCTAAAGACTTAATGCGGCTGCGAATGCGTGTGCTAAACTTTAAGTATTCGCAGTATATATAGTCGTGTTTACCCCCACGGGTGAATATAAAATACATAGGTATACCATGATGAATCCAGACGACCTTGAGTCATTGTTATGGAAGATGCTGGGTGAATCTCATATAATCCATAAGAATCCGGTATGGACCGCCGGGCCGGAGATGTGTCGCGTAGGAACAAAAACATGCTCGATAATACGATTTTATACAAAAAAAAAAAAAAAAATCGAAATGGTTTCATTCGGGTAATGTACCTTGGAGGTTTTAGCTTGTGGGTGTTTGATACACATTAAAAATTCACAACACAGAAAAAAAAAACTTTGTTATATTTGAATAATAAATTGGTAACATAATAAAACACATCTATAGCGCAGTATAGCTACTAGTATACTTATATCATATAACGTACCTATAAAATAAATATTTTCGCTCGCGTGTGTTGCAATTATTATAATAATACGTATAATGAAGTACTTAAACCATTATTAGCTCAAGAATTAAATCACAAAATTATCATTATTGTAATTATAGCGGGGTTAGAAATACTTAGGATGCTTATGAAATTTAATTTTTTTTCTTTAGTGGTGCAAAATTGCAGACCAAATTGTAAATACGTTTGGTATGGCATACAAGAAGATATTTTATTAAATTCAATTTTGCACATTTTTCTATTCGTAGGCATTTTAACTATAAACGCATTATTTGTTGTCTTTGAACGACATTTTTGTGCATTTTATACTTTGAAAGTCATATATACAGGTACATAAACGTACAAAATAAATAAGGTTGGTAAGTGCGGGTACCACTCTGTTGTATATTAGGTTTCGTGTGAGTCACTGTATAATGTATGTGTTAAATTTCAATTCGATGATATCCAATCATTGTACCTATACGAAAAGTGATTCTGAGTGAAGATGGCCTAAACTACTAAACATATTTTATACTATTATTGTTATTAATGTAAATTATTTTACTATTAGACATTAGTAATACAGTAGATTAAATTAATATTTGTCAAAAAAGTTACATTTGAAAATGTCATTGTGTGTATAAAATATGATAATATTATATACTTGAGTATATGCTATAAAGGTAACAATTACCCACACTCCACACATAATATTTTTAAATTACAACAAAAGAAGTAAAATTGTTATTCTCCATTTTAATCAATATCTAATTTCTCCTAAATTCTAAGTAAGAATAGATATCTATAAAAAAAAATCGTGTTTATATATTTTTTAAATTTTTACTTATAGAATATACTGCTTTACCAAGTAAAAAATTACAATTAATCATAATTGTAGGTATATCTTCCCCAATGCGCCAAAATGAGATGATAGAAAAAAAACGATGGTGTGTGAGAAATGTTGTGTTTCACATAATATTGTTAGTATAGGTACTTAGTCACTGTCGAAAATAGGGGAGAATGGCTTGGGGGAACTTTGAGCTGCCCTAAATTATGGCCAAGTCCCTCCAATCCAAAAGTCAGAACTTATTACTAAGCATATATCATTTCTAGAAAATATTTAAGGCAGAGTGCTCAAGTCCGCTCCTCCCAAAAAAATTAGGGAGTTTGGTCTAAAAGTTTTGGCTTAAATGATATGCCAATTTTGCACCTTTGGCGCTTATATATTGCTATATAGCCATCTTCCCAGTTACGTGGACCTATTTTGAATTTTGAACCTACTCCCTAGTATAGGTTTATTAATTGTTATATCACTGTATGTATACTGTATGTACATATTGGACTCTTTTCTGATATTTCAGATATAATACAGCAATACTAAGTAATAAATTTCATTTTAGAAATTCGTAATGGGCCATATATGCGTGTTGAGTACCACTTAGCATAGAAAAAATACTACTACTAATACTACACTCATAAAATGTTTAGTCTAAATTTTTAGACGGTTAAAATTTGGCAAAAAAAAGAGGTGAATTTTATAAGTAAAACGAGTTTGAATATTTTTAAGAGTACCTACCTTGAAGGAGTAAATTGATTTTTTAAAAGAAAAATCCAGTTTTTACATAGATAGTCCATTTATATAATATAACCTTGGAGTGTTAATAAAATATCATTCATTCTCCATACATAGTATTTATATATTCTGCTGTTTGGATCGTTGAGTAGGATCTCATTATGGACATTTTAAGAATACCTCCTGTGCATCATATATTATAAAAAAAATATTAATATCGAGTACATCAGTATCAATAACCGTGACTGATACAGATCATTTTCTAAAACTATTTTTATTTATCAATTAAAAAATGTAATTTTTTATCAGGAAAGATAAAGTACTAGTTATCGGGCCATTAATACGAATTCCTGAAACCTCAAATTAAACTATACATAATATCTACAACAAATGGAAACTATACAAATTATTTTACATAACTAATAAATAATTAAACTACAACTAAATTGTTGGAAACTTGTTACCTACTGATTTTTGTCAGATTAAAAACAATATTTCTGAACAACTCCAAAAACGTTGTAATATCCTTTTCAATAAATAATAAAACATACATTTTTATAATATTTTTTTCTGTATGTCATTAGGAAAAAATCCCTCATCAGTAACACTTTTATTGTTATTCACATTAAAATATCGTAATATTTGAAATATTAATACAAAATCATCATAATTTAGGAATTTATACATAATATATTATGTATACTCAATTATATTTTAGTTTAGATTCTGAACAACGGGCAATGGATTTATTGAGTTTTACAATAATTTGTATCTTCAATATTTTAAACTTGAACGTTTCGGTTCAATGTATCATTCTTATTAAAAAATATAATACCACGAGTAGAATAATTGAATAATTGTATTGTCCTGGTCATCATTGAAACACATCTTTATTTTTTCAATTTTACCATCATGCTATATAGGTATGTATGTATATTGTATAATAATACTAAAAGCTACAATAATTATTGTAATAATTATGACAAATATAAAATGGACGTGAGGCAAGTATAAAATATAATTAAGTCGTTTTTGACTTTGATCCAGTGAGGGCTTGAGCTGTTCTTGGCGCTTGTGATACATAGTTATATTGCGGAGCAGCGTACTGATCGTACACAGGTGGAGCGTTGTAGTATGTGATCGGCTTTCTAACCAACATATTTAATCTGTACGGACGTTGGTGGAGCATATTCGTTTGGCCGTCGAGAGATTTCACGGACCTCAGTACGTTTTGTCCATAGACGGGGTAGTTATATGGGACGTTGTTGGTAGTAAAACCCTGGTAGTTGGGCGGCGGATAATACACTCCCTCGTTTTGCGGCTGATAATATTGCCCTTCGTTTTGCGGCTGATAATATTGCCCTTCGTTTTGAGGCGGATAATACTGCACGTTGTGTTGCGGTGGATACAGCGGTCGTTGCTGTGGCGGATTCTGCACTTCCTGCGGGGGCGCTGCAGTGGGCTGTCCCTCTTGTTGCGGCACGGGGTACTGGACTTCCGGTTGTAGTGGATACTGGATTTCCGGTTGCGATGGATACTGAACTGTCTGCGGTGGATACTGAACTTCCTGCGGTGGATGCTGAACTTCCTGCGGTGGATACTGAACTTCCTGCGGTGGATGCTGAACTTCCTGCTGCGGATACTGAACTTCCTGAGGGGGTGGGTTCTGCTCTTCTTGATGAGGTGCTATAGGTACTGCGGTAGGAACCGGGGCCGGATCTGTACCAACTGTAGTGACTCCGTCGGGTACGATATACTCGCCGGTAACAGCAGAATCGACCGGAGAAGCCACGATTGATGGGAAAATACTCTCTAGCATAGAATGATGTTTTTTTAACTGGAGGAGTTTGCATTTAAAAATTCGTTCTTTCAGTGGTATCATTTCGGCGTTTATCAAACACACAATAGTAGATACCAACACGATGGCCTAAAAAAAATAATATAAATAAATATACATAGGTACAATATCATATACATAATATTGTTTTTATTAGAGATAAAATGTAGTTGTAATTGTACGAAAATATAAACTTTTATCTAAATTTTTCATTGGCCCGAAAAAACGTACAAACAAATATGAGAAATCGTTATTTTTCATTGAAGTAGGTATTACTATCCAATGCAGTCAATTACGTAAATGTTTGATACTTTAAAATTTCTGAAATAAGAATCTTGTATGCTATTTTCAAGTCTAGGTATACAAATTAAAAATTTTGTGAATTTTCAATCACAAAATAATTTACACAATTTTATGACGTGGACGGATTTTGTAAGAAAAAACTACAAAAAATATCAACACTTAAATCGAAACATAATTAAGTCTACGATTTCAATTGTCTATAAATAGCTTAAAAATTACAGAAATCATTATTTTAGAAGTTATATCATTCCAAAGTTTGCGATTTTCTGTTTTTGGTTGATGAGGTATTATATAGTATTTTTTTTGAATAATAGAACGGACAAAAGGACGTAGTACCTATATATATAGTTATTTGACGCACGTTCGACGTCAAAATATGTTGTTAACTATTATAGTAACTTCAGAACAATAATCAAATTGGTATAAAGTAAGTGTAAAATAAACTTTTTTATTATTATTATGTTGTGTGTTACAACAGCGCTAGCTGTGGGTTGCATTCTACACAATGTCGTTATCTGTTATCTAAAGAATTGTTCGTATAAAAATAGATTTGACAGAATATCTTAAAATAAACTTTGGAAGAATCTCTACACAATATATAAGAAAAAGAAAATTCTACATAATTTTAAAGTTATAATTATGTTGGCTCAATACATAAAAAAAGTTCATTCAAATTTACCACCCACAAGTTCCACTAGGGACTATAAATACGGGCCCTGGTATGATAGTAATAATATCATCATCTTCAATAATAATTAGTTGTATCAGATTTTTCTGGATATGATATCATTTTCATAATATTTTGGTTCCTTTTGATCAATTCATATTTAAAAGTGTTCACATTTTTTTAGTTTTATCTTGATTTATGTTAATTAGCCTAACAGCATTTTTAAATAAAACTCAATTTATTGATAAAAGGTTGATTCCTCATAAGTGGTTCTTACAGAAATTAAAAAGCATAAAAATACAGTTTTACCTACTTTTTATATTTAAACTTTTGAGTTAAAATAATGACGACATTAGTCAATTTATTTTATAGTTGAAATTCATGAAGTTTACTAAATTAGATATTCAAAATTATAATTTAAGGATTTCTCGCCTCAAACTCTTATAATTATTTTGTTTTAAATCAAAAAATATCTATAGAGTACTAAAACAGTAAATATTCCATAATATTACTTATATTATTATTTTCTATACAAAATTAACACTTTAAAGTATTCAAAATAATTTTAAATTAGTTTAAGTTATACAAGCATTTAAAATTTAAAATGTTTTATAGTTTTTTTTAAGTAATTGAAGATGAAATTTTTTTTAGTCAAAATATTTTTAAATTAAAATAGATGTTTCCTCTACATTTTTAGTTTGGCAATTTAAATATATCAAATACATGGTGACACTTTTTTTTTTTGAAAGCTGTTATAAAATTTGTCAAATGAACGTCGATTTGTAAATTATTTTGGAAATAAAAATGTATAATATATGGTTTTTATACCTTAGAATTGAAAATCCAATACAAGATTCCTATAATTTTTTTTTTATGATAATTTAAGAAAAATGTCCTACACAAAAATACATACCTTTTTTTGAGCATTTGAAAATCAAATGTTAATGTTATTGAATATTTTTACGAAAAATAACAATTTTATATTATACGCTTTTAATTATTTTCGTGTAATTAAAAAAATATTTTTCATGGAAACAAGAAATTATTACATATTATATAATTATTTTCTGTTCACAATAAAACTGATGAATGAACCAATCAGTATATATATATGAACTTTAGGGAAGTATTCAATGTTATACCTGAGTTAAACTTATAATTTATAAGTACAAATATTTCCACAAGCTAATACTACAGTACATCAAACTTATAGACATTTACCTAATACATGCTATCATTTTGAAATTAAGTTAATGATTTTCCAAAAAAATCAAAATATTAAAACACATTAAAAATTAAAAATGTATACTTATTTAATGAATACTACTACTATTAATAATAATAGTAATATGTACTTACTTTTAAACACATCATGGTGATTTTTGATATAGCTAAACAACTAGTTTATTTTGACTGATGTAATTCGCCAACAGCCGGAACAAGAAGTAAAGAAAAACTAAATACTGAAAGCGAAATGACTGCCCTTTAAGTAGAAACTGCTGATATAAGCTATTAATTCTTTCTCATGTTAATGAGTCTAAAATCGCCAACTGTCTAGACTGCAGTGACACATCATTCCGATAACCGAACATTCTACCTAGTCTTAAGTTCGTAAATAATCGCTATTTTAAGGAACTTAATCGTCACATCGAATATTATACACGAATATTGCTGCATAAATAGTAATATAGTATGATTTAGAGTGCTAAAATAGTTTTCTTGTGCTCAAACAATTTCTTCAAATAAATAAGTCAATAATTATAATGTAGTATACTACCATATATTGTTTAAAGTAAAATATTTTGTTGAAGACAATTTAAATGTCAAAATAAATGATATAATACGAAGTAATACATAATTATTGAAAACATAACCCATTACCAACTAAATTAAAAAACGGTTTATTATTAGTATCTCATGAGTTAGGAACTTCAAAAAGTGTAAGACTAAAAAAAATACACTCAATTTACCTTCATTCTTTTTTTTTTACTGGAAACCACAATTCTTGGTTTATTTACAATAAAAGTATGTACCTATTTTAAACTTAACTCAGATTCAGAAATTAAGTTGTAGGTTTTCTGTCAAAAACAAAAATATTTTGTGTTGTTCATTAATTTAATATTAAATTTAAACACACTCTACTAACAGTAGATACTAGATAGGTAAATATTACATAATAGTAAAAAATCCCACAATGTCGTCTATTTTAAAATTCAATTTCATTATCTTTACTTCCATAATATTCAACAATAATATAATACACCTTATTCTTAATTTTATTTGTGATATGCTCACTGTGGTATTTTTACCATTTACATTTATTATAAATACTTACATCGGGATACGTGTATTTTTAAAAATAATAATAAATAATATATAAACTAATGTTATTTACCTAACTATGATGAATAATACTATAATACCTACTATAAAATAGTAATATAGGTACCTATAAGGTATGCTCGTGTTTTACATATTTTTATCGTAAGCTTGCATGGATGTTTTAATTCCTGAATATTATTAATATTATTATTTATTAATGAAATATTGTTTTAGTATATGAAAACTTCACGCGTCTTCAAGCAATAAATACTTCAAGCAATAAATATATTATATTATACAAAATGTTACATATAATAGGATTTTGTTTAATCACAGGTAACTCAGGTTAAATAAAGCCCTGATGATGTCAATTTAAAAATATTTTATGGGTATTATACAGAAATGTATTAAAAATAAAACCGGCTTTCCATGGAATTAATCATTTTAATATTTTTTTTTAAGTACGAAAAAAACGTACCTATATTATGTTGTGTAACATTAAGCTTACACATTTACATATATAATATATATCATCTATATTTTGATAAATAGAACACGTATATGCGAGTATAATATTATGCATACAGATATTGCAGAGCACATCTTAAAAAGTGGATCTCCTCGATATTGCATTTTTGTGGTTAACATAAAATAAAAAAAATTAATACATAAATTTGACATATTCCGCGTTTATATAATGATGTTGATATTTTTCATATTAATATTCATTGAATGTATACAAATTAAACGCTTCAGTGCAGTGGTCAACTAATACATATACAATTTAATATTAAAATTTTTTTCAATGCGAGTACAATGTACACAAAATGGTCTTCTTATTTTACATTGGAACACTATACTATTATTATCAATTTTAGCTTATTTAAAAACGATATGCTTATCCATTATTGAGACTATTGTATAAAATATAAGAAACTGTCGTTAAAATATATATTATATTTAATGATATTAGAAATTATTATTCAGAATACAATTCAAATTTATGATTTAGATATTAATAATAAATGTAAAATTCGTAAAATACACATTTTAAAATTCAAATTCCCAAGTAAAATAGTATGATATAATAGTAATGAAAAAAACAAATTTTATCATATTGCATGAGTTGCACAAAAACAGGAAATTATTTTAATCGATTAAACTTATCATATAAGAGCAAAACTATTATGTTAGGCATAGTCTAGTAAATACAGAATACAGTACAGAATAATCATAAAATATTTAATTAACTGAATGCTAATAAAACCCTAACGCGAAAATAATGATTGAACGATTCGTCTAAGACGATATGCATACATTGAACTATCGATGAAAAATATTAAAGTAGTAAATATCAATAATGGTGAAAACGGAAACGAAATTCGTGATAAGTGTGAGGGATACTATTCACAGAAATACGTATAAAATATTTTTCATACACCTATTATATGTGCACATACCTAAAACCTACAGAATCGTATACCTAATTAATAAAAATCACCCGGTTTATGAAAATTAAATATTTCCAGTTAACATTTAAGCTAACACGGATGAATAAATAATTTCTTTGTTCCTAATTTATAAAATAATGAAATAAACAGGAAACCATAAAATTATTTTAGTTCATTAGTTACTAACAGTTATAATTGAAATTACATTTTTTTTTTTTGGAAGTATTTGCACTATAAATATATAGTAAGTATTACAATTACAAATGTTTTTGAATTAATGTCCTATGTAACATATAATGTAATAATACATCTTACATTTTTAACATTTATCTAATGACAATATATATTTTTAAAAGGATATTCACCACAATAAAATTAAATTAAAATTAAATAAATGATTCTGAGTTTGTTAATATTTTTTAGTTAAAACATACGATATACTTTTAAAGATATCGAAAAACACAACTTAGTTAATAGTTTCCACATTTTATGGTGATTAATAATAGTAATAGATATTTTCAGAGAATTTTAGCATTATCAAAATGTAACAAAAAATGAAAAGCATGCTTATCTAAATTTCTTATTAACGATAATTGTCGTGGGCACACCAATACTATATTCCACCTTTATAGTTTGTTAAACTAATGGTTATATTCCTAATGTGTCTGAACAATTTGTGTCCTTCACGGCGGCGGTGCTTAATAGGTGGGCAAAAAGGAATGTGGTTTTTTATTTTTTAAACTTAAATGTACATAGAATGTAGGTACCACCACAATGTAGGAATTGACAATTTCGTATTGAAATTAAGCTTTGAAGTAAGTGGATGTCGCTCTGCTGTACGTTATTAGGTGTCTAGAAGGTTGCTGTAATGGATGGTATTAAATTTGAATTCAATGATATAATACCATTGTACACGAAAAATGATTCTCGGCGGAAACGATATGTCAGTCTAGAATATTTTATTTTGTCATTACTTATTATTTATACGGTAGGCGGTAAGCTGAATTAATATTATGAACAATATTATTCTTAAATTATCAGGGATACCGGAGAATATTATATAGGTACCCACACTTATATACATGTGTGCTGTTTTGGAACCGAATTACAAAAAAATTACTTAAGTCGTTATTCTTTGTATGTATGGATATATTGTGTATACATGGAAATTCGACTAAATTTGAACTTAAAATAACTATAAAAAAAAAGTTGTTTTTATGTTTATTTTTAGATTTTTTGGTTAAAGAATTAACTACATTAACTTAATTTTAAATTTCCAATTTTTAGCTATAAAAGTTGAACATTCAATACATTTTTAATTACAAAATCATTTTTACATTTTCAATTTGAGAAATATTGTCAAAATTTGAACTCTATATGAATCTAAAATAAAAACAGGTCTATGTATTTAAAATACATTTCAGCTGATATCGTAACAATATATTACGAATCTTGCATTAATTTTTCATACTTTTGATCCAAACAAATTAAATCGTATTGACATTTATAGTAATATAAACTAAAAAATATGAAAATCGAAAAAGTCTGTAAACAGCTCAAAAAGAGTCAAAATATATTGAAAATTTCAATCAAGTATACATGCATTGGTGAAATAAACGTAAGGTGTAAATTTCAAGTGTCTACAATTATTCGTTTATGAATTACAAAGAAACCCGGTTCAGAGAAATCGAGTGAATATAAAATGTTGTAAAAATGTCAATTTCAAACTCTTATAACATTTTATTTGACAGAATGTTTTTTTTAATAAAAATAGACAAACTTATAGACTCTTATATTACATTTTAAATTTTAGATATTAAAAAAATACTTTATGAATTTCTAACTCGAAATAATTTGCTAATATTAGTGATTTTTACGAATTGTATCAAAATTTTAAATTGAAATTCTCGTCAAAAATATTGTGGATTTACACTCAAGTTTTTTTTTAAATTTCCACTATCAACAACTTACGATGAACCTTGTAATATATTTTTAAGTTTTTTGACCGACATTTTTTTTATCGATAATTGTTAAAAAAAACAAATAATAATGGACAATTTCATAAGCCTATATGATGTATAGAAAATTCAGATACAAACATTCGGTGAAATTTTCATGTATCTATGATACTTTTTTGATATCCAAAATTAAAATTGATTTCATCGTAAAAATTCCCGTTTTTCCTTAATTGTTTGTTTGTTTTTCTTGCCGTTTGTGAAAACTATTGGAAATTGTTTACTATTGACTCCCCAAAGTACCAATAAGATTTATTTTCCTACCAGAAAAGATGCTGTTGAAGAAAATTGAAAAATTTTTATTGTCCTAAAAGATGATGACAGACACAAAAAAAAATTACATAATTGTAAATTCAATACATTCATCGTTCCGCTCAGAATTTAAAATACTAAAAACCAGACCCAGGAATTTAATGCATTTCAGGTTAGTTATTGGATTATACAAGCAGGAAATACGTAAGTATGGCATAGTTATGTACTAACATCATTATGAATTTAGAATCAATAATCAATATGTTGCTTAAAATAAACAATTCTATAGAGCTCAGTTTACGAAACAATGTTTGGATATCAAGTTGTAACGTTAGTAATTAAGTAAGGACTTAAAACATAATATGTAAAGATTTTAAAGTATTTATTAAGTATTTAAATGCAATTCAGATAGTACAGATACCAAATAATAAAAAGCAGATTGTAGGC